AATAAGTCCGTAGGATGTTTTTGAGGTTGTGTGTATATTTGGTTTGGAGCCCCGAGGGCTCGGGAGAGTTTTGGATAGGCCACGGGGTGCATTTTGAACTTAGAAAAAATTGCAGAAATTTTGCTGGTATGATCAGGCCTGCAGGCTTCGCATCTCACAAATGCGATATCGCAAATGCGAGGGCTTGGTCGCAAATGCGAACCAGTCCAGGCCTGCCTTATCTCACAAATGTGAGCTATGTTTCGCAAATGCGAGGACCCCCTTCGTAAATGCGACGTATGCTGGGAAGGCTTGAAGTCGCAAACGCGACTTATTGTTCTCAAATGCAAAAAACCCAGATTTCCTAAGGGTTCGCAAATGCGAGATTCCCTTCGCAATTCCCAAGCCAGCAGAGGTCGGGATTCGCAATTGCGAACCCCTATTCGCAATTCTCACATCTGAGACCTGCAACTTTTATTCTTAGACGATTTTAAACTCATTTTTCACATCTTTTCAAAACATAAACTCCTTTGGGCGATTTTTCAAGAACAACTCTTCTTCCAAATCGATTGTAAGTTAATTTTAACTCATTTCCTTCAATAATTAACATCCTTTAACATGATTTCAACTCAAAATCAAAGATTTTCATGGGGGAAATTGGGTGTTTTGGGTAGAACCTAGGTTTTTAAAAAATTGGGGATTTGGACCTCGATTTGAGGTCCGATTTCAAAACAAATTATATATTTGGGTTCGTGGGGGAATAGGTAATCAAGTTTTGGTTCGAACCTCAGGTTTTGATCATGTGGGCCCGGGGGCAATTTTTGACTTTTTGGGCAAAACTTTAGAAAAACTCATTTTCATGTATTGGGGTTGATTCATTTAGCGTTTATTGATGTAATTAAGTAACTTGTGTCTAGATTCGAGTGAATTGGAGGTGGAATCAAGGGGTAAAATTATAATTGAAACGTGAATTGTGTTCGTGGCATCGAGGTAAGTGTCTGGTCTAACCTTTGCTTGAGAGATTAGGAGTTGTGTCTTATTTGCTACATATTAATTATGGAGCACGACGTATAGGCATGGTGACGAGTATCTATACGTTGGTGTCGAGCATGCCCGTGAGCCTTGTATTATAATTGTTATGACTCCGTTGTGGTTTATTGTGCTTCATATTTTATTATCACCATTGTTCCCTTGCCGGGATGTTTGTTTGATATTAATGATCCCTTGCCGGATGTTTGTTTTGATAGTATTGTTCCCTTGCCGGAATGTTTGTTTTGATATTATTGTTCCCTTGCCGGAATGTTTGTTTTGATATTATTATTCCCTTGTCGGGATGTTGTAGAAATATCATTGTTCCCTTGCCGGGAAGTTGTTATATTGCCCTTATTCCCTTGCCGGGATTCCTTGTGATTATTGTTGGCTTGTAAATGGGAGCAGGTGGTACGCCTGCCACAAGATATAATAAAATGGGAGCGGGTGGTACGCCTACCACAAGATATAATGAAATGGGAGCGGGTGGTACGCCTACCACAAGATAAGAAATGGGAACGAGTGGTACGCCTACCACCAGATATAATGAAATGGGAGCGGGTGGTACGCCTACCACAAGATAAATGAAATAGGAGCAGGTAATACGCCTACCACGAGATAAATGAAATGGAACGGGTGCCACGCCTGCCACGAGATACATGAAATGGGAGAGGGTGACACGCCTGCCACAAGATACAGGAAATGGGATCGGGTTGCACGCCTGCAACAAGATGTGAAAAGAAAGTGAAATCGGCCTTTGTTTTCCTTATTCTTGTTAGTTGTTGATTTTGATTCCTTTATAATTCTCTTGATATTCTGTTTTACCTATTATTCCCGAAGCATGTTTCCCCCTCCTATCCTTATTTGTTTAATTCTGTATTTCTTTTCCGCTGTATATATATTTAAACTACACAAGTTTATTTGGTAGTCTGGTCCTAGCTTCGTCACTACTTCGTCGGGGTTAGGCTAGACACTTACTAACACATGGGGTCGGTTGTGCTGATTCTACACTCTGCACTATGTACAGATCCCGGAGCAGCTTTTGGACAGTAGCTTGGAGGCTTCCTTCAGTCTATCCGGAGACCCAAGGTAGACCTGCAGGCATCCGCAGACCCTGGCGTCTCCCTCTATCCCTATTTCCTATTTCATTTTCCTTTTATTCAGAAACAGTGTACTATTATTTCTTCAGACTTTGTATGTAGCAATCTTAGATAGTCTGTGACACTGTGACACCAGGTTTTGGGTGGTTAAGGCTTAAGTATTTGTAATGGATGCAGTTTTTTTTCATAAATGTTATTGTTGTCTTCCGCTTAAATTTGAATTTCCGCCGTTACCACGTTATTGTCTTATATTTGTTAAAAAGAAATAATTGGTTAATGAAGTAATTAGATTAAAGGTTTGGCTTGTCTAGCTCACATTAGTAGGCGCCATCACGACTCCCGAGGGTGGGAAATCCGGGTCGTGACACTAAAGCAGCTAGAGGCTACAACATTACCAATATACAAGTGTGGAATAAAGCAGCAATAGTAAAGACATTCTAGGATATTGCACATAAGACAGATAAAATGTGGATAAAATGGACTCATCTCTACTATATCAAAGGATAAAACATCTTCGAAATGAGCATACCAAACCAGGCAAGCTGGATGGTAAAGAAGATATTGGGGGCAAGGGATGATATCAAGCAAATACAAAGGTCTATTGTACAGAAGAAAACTATTATCAGATACATCTACAATCAATTGCTAGGGGATCATCCTAAAGTTGAATGGAGGAGGTTGATATATCATAACAGAGCCAGACCTAAAGCTACCTTCACTTTATGGTTGCATTGTCATGGGAAACTTGCTACTACAGACAGACTTCGCAAATGGGGTATCAATGTGCAATCACTTTGTGTGTTGTGTCAAGTCTCAGATGAAAGCAGGGATCACCTCTTTGGGGAATGCAGTTTTTCAAGAGGATTGTGGAGCAGAATACTACAGTGGCTGCAAATGCAAAGTCCAATAGGACAGACATGGACTGATCTCTTCACATGGATAATGCAGAAGACTAAAGGGAGAACAACTACAGCAAAGATTATCAAAATGACATATACAGAGTTTCTACATGCAATATGAAAGGAAAGAAACAACAGAATTTTCAAAGGAGAAACTAGAGATCAACAGAGCATAACTAGAGAGATAACATGTGTATGTAATATTAAAGGCACACGTGATATAAGGAACCAGCTACAGAATTTGAGCTTTTAAAGATACAATCCATAGCCTAGCTTACATATATAGAATTAGACTGCTGGATAGAAGAACCAATACGAGGTAAGAGTTAGATTGTTTGTTTTCTCAGAGAAGCTAGTTGTGCATAGCTATGCTTGATTTGTAATGACTTCGCTGGTGATTAATATAATATTTTAATTACCAAAAAAACACCCTACTCATTGTTCTAGCGGTGTAGTTAATACTTTATCACAAAATTAAAGTGATCATTACTATTTATGCTCTCACTATACAAAAAAAGAATCTCACTATACAAAACAAATATACAAATAAACTGCCACTATGCAAAAAATACACAAAATAGACTGTCATTATACAATTTACATACTAAATAGACTGTCACTATATAAAAAATATACAAAATAGATGTCATTATACAAAATATATACAAAAAACACTGTCACTATATAAACAATATACAAAATAGATGTCACTATACAAAATATATACAAAATAGATTGTCACTATATAAAAAATATACAAAATAGATGTCATTATACAAAATATATACAAAAAACACTGTCACTATATAAACAATATACAAAATAGATGTCACTATACAAAATATATACAAAATAGATTGTCACTATATAAAAAATATACAAAATAGATGTAATTATACAAAATAGACTGTCACTATACACTTTAAATACACAAAAGCACTAGGAATACATTAATGATACGTTGGGAATACATTTCAAAATACATGATACACTCTAAATATACGGTGTGCACACATTACACATACAAAATGTGTATATAATTTATATGCACTATGTTTACATATTAGACAATATACACGTGTATACAATTTTGATACATTGTTTAGACAGATTATACATTCATGATATAAAATACACTTGGGATACACCAAATATACACTTTAGATAAATAAGCACACTCGAGATAGGCTCAATATACACTAAGGATACACTGTCGAACTTAGGATATAATATATATACAATATTTATTNATATTGCTGCACTTCGCCTATCATTAAATCCAATATTAGATAGTATTAAAAAAAAGTAAAAGCAAGAGAGAGAGAGGTTAGAATTAAAAGAACTGAAGATAAAAATTAAAAAAATATAGAAAGAGTAAAAAGCCAAGTGTGATACGTAAGAAAGAGAAAACAATTTGGTGTTAAGAAGGAAAGATATTTGGGGAAGATAAAAAAGTTGTACCCAAATTTACTTTTGTCTTTTGTCTATTGGTTTTATTCGATGGGATACAATTTGATATTAATTTTGTCTAATTGAATATTTCGGGTTACGTGCATAACTTTGCGTTAATAATTTTTTTTGACGGCCATACAAGGTAGTTTTCTCTATCAAATTTCAGTCCCCAGGTCGAAAGCTTGACCACCGAACTTCTGACCTGTTGTTTCAAACTTTAGACGTTCGGGGCGGAAATTAGGCTAGCAGTTCAAAACTTAAAAATTGCGGGAGGAAATTTGAAACTTCCATCCAAAGGTCTGAAGTCTTAAAATGTTATTATTGAAGCTGTCTGAAGTTTGCTTCATCTGGCTAAACTTTCAACATATTATAAAAACTGGCTAATTCTTTAAATAGCGTATATAAAAGCGGCTACCTGATGCTATTTCTACGTTTGTTCTTCGAAATGGCCCAACAAGAAAATGATGGCCCAAGCCCAACAAGTCAACTACCACTTCATTTTCATTGAAATTAAATGATGACCGTTTGTTTCTTCCACTTCCCTATCTTCTACTTTTGCAGAAGAATGACTACTCATATTTCTCCAATGGCATCAACAATAAAGCAATTCCCATCAACTAGCTTCAATCTTCAGCCACTCCCATCAGTTTTCCATGGATTTAGAACAAAACCAGCTCAAACTTCTGTTGCTGCTTCCCTTAAAAAAGCTCCTCATCTTTTCTCTTATTCACCTCCATTGCCTTCTCAGAACATCACTTTTCAGAATTCATTTATTCCACTTTCTGCTTGCCTTGCTATTCTTCTCTGGTCCTCTCCTGGTAATGTAATCTTGATTAATCTTTCTTTTGCCCCTTTGATGTTGCCTCTTTTGTTATGCTGTTATTTTACTTTATACAGTTTGATGTGATTGTATGAGATAGAGTATCAATTACGGGTTCAACAGAACCCGCAGTAACTTTTGCCCAGAACATGTATTTGTGCTACAAAATTCACTTAATATGTATAAATAATCTATCTTGAAACCACTAAGTTATTATGTCTTAGAATTTGGAACCCATAGCTTACAATTCTAGCTCCGCCTCAGGCTATGCAACCTTGAAATAATGGACCCACGTAATATAGAGGATTCATATAGCCATCCCAACTAGTTTGGCATTAAAATTTTAGTAGATTGATTGATTAATATGAGGCCTTGACACCCATCATTCTCGCAACACCCTATGATTAGGTTTGTAAGAGAAAACTTTGGAGTTCTTGAATGTTGAGATTTGGCAGAGAACCACACCAAAGGATGTGGTGCAGTAGATGTGACTGCTCTTCCCTTGACCAGACATCTCGGGTTCAAGCCCTGGGTATGGAAAAATCCTTGGCAGGGAGCGCTTCCCCCCGAATGGGGCCCTACGCGACGCGAATCCGGATATAGTCGGGCTCCAATGCGGGTACCGGATAACGGGTGGGAAACCAAAAAGAAAAAGAAGAGATTTGGCAGAGAAACTCTGTAGAACCAAGTAATATTTTTTATCTTTTCTATTTATGGATTCCATTAGTAACATATAGAGAATTCCTAGTGCTTTTTAAATTTTAATTTCATTTTTTAATAATATTGAACTAAGATGAGCTTAAATGTGGACAGTAAGAAATCATAGAGCAGATCAACTTGCTTGGTACTGAGGCCTAGTTGTTGTTGTTGACTATTTATAAGGAGCTTTTTTTTAAAGATGGAATTATAACTTGTGGAATTATATTATCTCATCTGCATTTTGAGTTGTGACTCTGTATTTGTCAAAAAATGGGAACAATGAACGCTTATTGATTTAAGGTAGCCTTCTTTTCTTTGTTTTGAATGTTTCCTTTGTTTCCTTACTAATTATCCATGAAGATATTGCATCAATGTTAGAAACTTCAGCTAATGGTAGTTAGCAAAATGCTATTGAACAACATTTTTAAGATTCAAGAAAACAGGAAAATGTTGTCGTGCAGATGGAGGAGTTAGTCTCTATTATGGTTTAGCATGTCTATTAATTAACCACTAAATGTTTCTACAAAATTTTGGTAAATTGGGAAGTGTATAAGTTTTAAAAGATGCATTGATATAAACTTGAGATCCTATGGAAGTTTAAGTTATCTAATTCCTAGGGACGTACAGAATATCTCGAGCCATGTCAGAATACACACACCTCGCTTGGCAGGTAGCCATGCTAAGAACTTGCAGTCTGATAAACCCATTTGTTACTTTAATGGATTCTCTTAATTTCTTTTGAATAGTATTTCGATAGAACGTGACTCGTGATAAACTGAGTTTCTACTTGCTTCTTATTAATGGACATAGAATTTACGCGATCCTTCCATTTCTTCAGTTGTCAGTGCTTGAAGGCTAATAAAGATGTAATTGTGTTTTAATTTGCAGCTAATGCTGGATTTCTTTCGGGTTCAACCGGAATAGAATCAGTTCCTGGCCCTGAATTACCTAAGATTGATTTTCTTAATCGGTGGAATGGTATGTATGTAAATAACATTTTAAAAAGTTTTTGCTAACATGCATTAAGATGATGTACAGAAGTTGATCCTTTTTGCAGATGATAATCAGAAAAGGTATGCAGAACTTGATTCAAAATTCAAAGACTCGCCCCTGCTTAAACAGTTACTTGAGAAATCCAAGCAAAACAAAGAGAAGTAATTTTCTTTCCTTGCTTTGACTGTTCCTTCAAAATGACTAGCTTTTTGTTACAGAGGCTACAATATCATATTGCACTTCTCACATTTTTTATGCCAATATTCTCAAAATATGGTTATTTCAATATGATGGCTAAACTCGGAGACTTTCACTATTGTATTTGTTTCTAGTAGTGGTTTGATCCGCTTTGCTTGGAGGAGGGTTGACTGAATTCTATTCAGTTCATTTTCTCGTGATAATGATCAACTGTAATAGGCAGTACATTAGTTAGGAATTTTAATAAGGGGATTCAAAAAATTGCAAGAATACCACACTTTGGGGTTTCAACGTGAAACGGAAAGCAATTTTTAGCCTCATTTATGCTGCACTAGAAACTTCTCTCTATATTTATATAGTTGATCAACCGATTCCCCCGAGCTTTGGGGTCAATTACAGGGGAGTAGGAAACTGTCTGCTTCAGATGATCCTCCTACAACCTCTGTCTCCTCTCAATTACATGTGTTTTAGGGAGTTGACCGTGTTATTCTTATGAGTGGTCTCATCACTTAGTGGTCTGTCGTGCAGTTAAAAAGGTTGACCATGGAAACCGCTTTCTTAAGTATGTTGTACTAGGGGACAATGTAGGAGGACGGTCTTGTATATGAAATGTTTTTTGGGTATATATGTATACATACGTTATGCAGCATAATTTTTTGATTGAGGGGATTCAATGGAACCTTCTTTGGACCATATCGCTCTCTTAAGGTTGCATCTTGCAAGTGTTTGCGTTTTCAAAAGCTATGACATGTTGTCTTTCAAAGTTTCTTGAAGTATATGTGCGAACTGACTTAAATCACATACTAGCAACAACCGGTGGTAATTAGTTGTGTGATTTTCAGGAACAAAAAATCAATTGAAGACAAGTATTGCCTACGAGGAGCTGAGTGGGGAGTTGGAGATTGCTCTACAGCAGGAATGACACCAGAAGAAAGAGACAGCTTCATTGCCATGTTGAAGCAGAAGGCAGGAGTAGAATGAACGCGCAACTATGTACCCTTTATCACCAGTGTTGGTTCCGATATATACTCTTCAAATTTTCAAGAATGCAAATGGCTGATGCAAAGAGTAGAGATTGAACCTTAATGGTGAAATTTCGCGTTATTTTTCTGCAGAGACCGGGAGTTTAATTGAGCCTCAAGACATCAGATGATCAGAAGCTATTAGTATTAGCAGTAGAATATGTCAAGGGCCATTCTTGCCATTGTTCAATAGCTTGTAGATATATTATATTAGTAAACTATATAATACATTATGAAGCTTTACACCTACTGCTTTCTTCTAGACATCATTTTTCTGAGCTAAACTTGATAGCAAATAACAAGATTATTTTGTTCAGTAATGGATTCTTAATAAGAAGTGTGATTTTAGTAATTATCTGTTTCATCATTGGATATAAAAGACAATGAAGTTGGGTAATTGAGGTCGTGAATAGAAAGAGATTGAATGCCTTTGATGAATAATTTTCATTATTATTTAAAAGCTTTCATTCTGAAATGTTGGTTGGAACGAGTTGAGACTCCTAGTTCTAATACAACTCTATCATATTCAATGTATCGATTAAACCTGCTTCTGCTAACATATCTAAAACATAATAATTCAGGCCTTTCTGTTTAGAGTGAAAATCATTTAACCTGCTCCTCTCTCTCTATATATATTGTAGGAAAAAAACACAGGAAAAACAATAATATTATTTGTGAGCGGAAATACACCAATTAGCTTGAGTCGTGCTAGACACTATCCTAAGAAACTATTTCACCAATGTAAAACGGTTCCCTAGAATTAATTAGCCTACCTCTAAATTTTAGATGATACAGGAATCAACAAAATTAATAATAAATCCAACAAGTTAAAAAACTGTAAAAGAAATAAAAAATTTGGATGAAAGAGGACTATAGAAGAAAGCTTAATAATTGTTATGATAATGGCTACGTAGCTAGATAATGATTGAACTACAAAGGAGAAGCAATTTGCTTTTTTCTGTTTATAATGATTCGGATGGGACAGATTGTAGCTATATATGGGCAAGAACGATGATAATCTTGACAAGTGATTTTAACACTTGTCCATGAACAAACATGCAAAATGTCACTCTTTCTCTTGGAAGGACACTTGGACAAAATAAGTCATTTGTCCAGAATAACTTTGAAATATTGTCACGTGCAAAAACTTTTGTCATGCACCAATTATCTAAGAGTATTTAGTCACAATGCTTCATGCAAGAAGCCACTTGAAAATAAATATGATACTTGTAAAATTAAAAAGATACATGACTGTTCATTTTTAAAGTAAATAAAACTCAATAGATGATAAGAATTTAGAAAAAATATAAAATTTGGAAAAACAATGAGTAACAAAATAGAAAGGAAATACTGTAACAAAGAGATCGAAGAATGACCAATATAGTATTAGAGTCAAAAGCTTAGTCATTCATATTTCTTCTTCTTTTTTTCACTTTCTTTCACCAAATTATTTATATATTAGTCATTCATATTTCTTCTTCTTTTTTTCACTTTCTTTCACCAAATTATTTATATATTAGTCATTCATATTTCTTCTTCTTGTTTTCACTTTCTTTCACAAAATTACTTGTATATAAATATTATATCGTCATCAATCGACATGCATATATGGAACGCTTGTCGTGATGACAAGTAAGATTGATTGTAATCTTTATTGTATACTAAAAAATTATCATCTACAATTTATTTTTCGCTAAATAACCTTCCAATATATTAACATTAATAGATTGACTCCACCATAAATTTTTTGTTCTTTTTTATTTTTATTATACAAGCGATTCAATCCTTACTTGCTTTTTCCTTTTCCTTTGCTCAAAAGGTCAATCGAGAAAAAAAGAAAATAACTATAAGGAGAAAGTCAAAGGAATATCCACAGTGGTCCTTTTGCGAAACCCTGACAAAAATTATTTCACAGTGATTACAAGAATAGAAAATGATAAAAACAACCCAAAAATAATAACTTAAAAATAAAAATATTCCACAAATTAGCAAATCCACTCCCCCATCTCCCAAGGGAGTCTTATTTTGCGTTTAGCTCATTAGGACCCCAACTGCTTCCTCCAGCACAATTCCCTCAATTTACAGGTAATTTTTTCTGTTTGAATTTTCAATAGATGAATATATTTTATGTGTCTTTAAAAAAATCATATTCTTGATACATATTAGTTTTTTTCTTTTTTCTTTGTGGGTGATAATCTGTTATTCTGAATCTGTGGAAGAACTTCTAAATTGGGTTCTGTAGGTATATGCTTTGTTGAGGTTCTAAATTTGTTAACTTTGTTCAATTAGATAATTTTTTTGATTTAATCTTAAATGGGGTTGATCTAAATGCCAATTAATAGTTTGCAAATAGCTTGAATGTTAAGGTTCTTGATTTTGATGTATTAATAATGTGTTTTCTCATTGAATATATGGGAATTGAGGGTTAGTTCAGTAAGGTGAGTTATTTTAGATGTAAAGATTCGATTTTTATTGGAAGATTTGCCTATATCCAGCCTAATTATTTATGGTAATTGTGTCCTGTATACAAAGTTGTGTAATACTTTCTTTCCTTCCAGGGGATTCATTTCTTTTAGCGGAATTCACGTGGGGTTAGTCAGATTTCAGTATGTGTTTGACTTTAGGTGTAATGAAGGAATAGGAAGTGAAATTGGAGTTAAGAGAAGCAAATTATGTATTGGCCTGTAGCAACTACTACCCGAGGCGGGGTACCTACTGATAGTGGAGATTCTGTGGTGACATTGGATCAAGTTCCACGATGGATTGATTCTGACATTAGGTACTTGTATGAGAATGAAGATCCTAATTCCGACTATCCGGATCCCTTGTCGTCTGCTTCTGGTTCTGAGGGCAATGCAAATGGTATAGTTTCCAAGTTTCCGCTAGATCATGAGGTTAACTCCAAGATATACCTGTGGAGAGGAGACCTCTGGAATCTTGAGGTAGATGCTGTTGTTAACTCTACAAATGAGGTGAGAAGTAACTTCTATCGCGTTTTCTTTGTATTTATTTGATGTTGTTTCTTGACTTAGGTAGTACTTACTTCTTTTGTTGATGAGCAATGTGCATATTTTGTTTTTTTTAATGTGGAGACTAAGGGATTAAATGCCTTTTTGCTTGTATCCATCCACCTGAGATGGTGGCAGAAACATGAACTTGTAGCCAACAGAATAGCAGAAGATTTTGTGTCTTAAATGCTGTATTGGGTAGGATATGCTTAAAGTTATGTGTTTTTATTTGAGCTAAGACTTGAAATATCCAAAAAGAAGGATTTTCTTTTATAATCGTGGTGTCTGAGCCAGCTTGTGTGCACCTCGACTAATTCCAGGAGTCGACTTGCTACCTTCAACCAGCCCAGATACTAGGTAACTTTATCCACCAAAGCTTGAATAGATGGGAAGAAATTACATAGTGCTTATTTGCCTCCGTTGGGATTTAACTAACGACCTCATAATTCTCAACCAACTTTATTGGCCACTAGACCACACCCTTGGATGCTCCAAAAGGAGGAATATTTTTCAATCTTGTTTCAATTTCTTAAGGGATGGGGAAAGGTTCCGGGTACTTTATCCATAAAAAGTGGGAGTAAGTTGATTCCATTAAAGGAGAGAGGGGGTTAAGTATGTATTCAAATTTGTATTCTCTTTCTACTTTGCAAATTTATCATTACTGGGAAGTACCTAGAAACTGAAGCATGCAAATATAGGATTATGTTTGCATTTCTCCGACCAAGTTGATGACCTAATTGTTCTATACATACCTTCTAATTAAGATATGGCTGCGATTGTTTTATTTTATTAAGAACATTTGTAGAATTGCAGTTAGCAATGCAAATTTGCTAGTTACCTACATCAAGAAACCACCTTTTGCTGTCAGTGGAATTGTTGACAATTGTACTTATATTTTGTGGTTAACAGAACTTAGATGAAGCGCACAGCAGCCCTGGATTGCATGCTGCAGCTGGACCTGGTCTTGCAGAAGAATGTGCTACTCTGGTAGGTTCCCCAGTATGTGCATATATCTTCCCCATGCTCCCC